CCTCGCACTCTGTATTAAAGATACGGTTTAAACACCATAAGATGATTTAGCAAGTCAGTTGTATTGTTGGAAGCATCTATAGCTATAGTGCTTCCTCTTGCTATATTCACAGAGCACAGTTTGCAGTCTGCTTTGCATTGATTGCCGTAATTCATCGTGAAATACTTCCTGTCGTCTGTTCATTAGCGTTACAACATACACTAGGATTACATCACCTAGTATCATATGTTGGTATCGGAGCATTTTACAAGTAAATGAGAACAGACACCTGATACCAGTATCGGTAACGATGCATCCCTAATCTGAGGTAGTTAAACAGATTAGGTCAAAACGGTTTCCTGAAAAACGTCCACTGCCAATCTTACTTTCTTTAGGTTATTTGTCATATGACCTCATCAGAGTACATATGTGGTTTGGTTATTTGCAACCTAACTGTATGTTCTTTAGTGTTAAGCACTATACAGCCAAGTCCAGTTTGTGGACACCTGACTATTACACCCATATGTGCTTTTTGAACATCCCATTCCAGAGTTAGTCCCCCTTTGCTTTTATAATAATGTCCACTCTTCTGGGAAGGCTTTCCACTAGATTTTGGAATGTGGCGGTGGGGATTTGTGTTCATTCAAGAGCATTAGTGAGGGCAGGTGAGGAGGACTGGGGTGCAATCAGTGTTCCAGTTTATCCCAAAGGTGTTCAGTGGGGTTGAGGTCAGGGCTCTGTGCAGGCCACTCGAGTTCTTCCACTCCAACCTTGGCAAACCATCTCTTCATGGAGCTCGCTTTGTGCACATGGGCACTGTCATGCTGGAACATGTTTGGGCCTCTTAGTTCCAGTGAAGGGAAATCTTAATGGTATGGCATACAAAGACATTCTATACAATTGTGTGCTTCCAACTTTGTAGCAACAGTTTAGGGAAGAACCACATATGGGTGTGATGGTCAGGTGTCCACAAGCTTTTGGCCATATAGTGTATCTCTGATATATTTATATCAAATTTAGATATTGGAAACACATGTTTTTTTTTTTTTCCATGTTGTCTAAGATGGACAGTCAAGATGGCCAAGCTATGGGGTAATATCTTTAATGATGTAAGGTTGATGTGATTGAAATACCTTTACCAATACTGATTTAATCCATGGTGGGTCTAACTATGTTAGTTTGTCCATAGCATATTAGTGCACACACACACACACATACACACATACACATACCCAGACCCAGACCCAGTTGTTTAACCTGACTGAGATGGGTGGTTTCTATAGATGTTTGTTTGTTATTGTTTTAGCCTGTAGTTGGAACTTTGCTTTTTTTATTAGTCAATCCAGTATCTATGTGGATTAGTTATTAGTTTCTAATCTGTTGAGTTAACATTTCTTACTTTCAGCATTGTCATTTATTACTACATCATCTCCAATAAACCATTCCAAGCAAACTGACCAAGTCAGATGTAATAATTGTTATTCTCTGAGCAGACTTAATTTTATTCCTGCCAAGACACCCAAGCCAAAAAGGATGTGATTATCAAGTGAAAATGTTTTTTTTTTCTTTCTCATTCAAACAGTGATTTATTATTGTAAATGTGCTCCGGTTTGAGTGACTGCTAACGTGTGCACCACTGTGAAAACCACTTCACCCGTGTGATAGATTTTTTTTTCCTCTTTCCAATCTTGTGTTCATCAGCTGTCGAAGCACGGCTCTGGCACTTTATATTGGACAGAGACGACATTGCTGCACATCTACACACACACACATATATTTTGAAGCAGATGGTTCCCAGATGCAGTCGAGACCCTTGTGAAAGTGAAAGGCATTGAGATCATTCCCTGCCCTTTCACGACTTGCCTTTCTTTTGAATATCGATGTAATGTCCAAACCCAGCAGCAATGTATCTTTTTTTTTTTTTTTTCCTCAATCAGATCTCTTTCAGTCCTAAATTGCAATCAAACGTTTGCCCTGGAATCACTTCCAAAAACACAGCAGGAAAATAAAGAAATGCTTAGAAAGTTGTATTATCTAGTACTAAACCTAGGATTTGTTTTTCTCTTCTTTATGGATTAACACCTTGAATCTTGGATGAAAAACATTCAGGGGACATTAGATTTGGTACTGGTGCCTGTCTCTGATCAAGTCTTCTGTATCTCTAGACATTTAAATAAGGCAGTAAATTTTAAGTGACTGCATTTACAGGGAGTCTTGAAATGAAGCGGAACAAGCTTATGCTGAAGCAATTCACAATAAAGAAAATCCACCTAGAGCTTGTCATGCTTGATCATTTCTGATGTGAGTTAAGTTTAGAAGTCTTACGTTTGCTGGTTAATAGTCACAGCTTTGTTGACCCTGAAATGCGTTCCGACTTATTTGTATGATCTGTTTTGTTCTATTCCACTCTTCTCATGTCAGGTTCGATCATTTCATTCTGTCCTCATCTCCGCTCTGTAAATAAAAACCATTAGGTGAATTGGACATGGTAGTGTTGATATTTCCTGTTCTGATATGGATTGTCAGATGTTTAAAAAATGATAGTGAGGATTTAATGGCCGTGCAAATAGCCGGTTTGAAGATAACAGCCATATCTTTCTGATGCTGTATGGGCCTTGGAGCTGTTTCCCTAGTAATACAGATTTATTTTTGTTTGGTTTAATTTATTACTCCAGAAAGGTCATATTCCAATGGACTGGGTCTTTTGGAATGAATTTTTGTTGTTCACTGAGATATTAGAAGAACGTTTACAAACTCAGTGCCTGATCAGTACAGTGCTTCTTATTCAAATTAACTTAACAATTACCCTCACCACCCTTAGCTTATATTCTCATTAACCTAACTTATGGAAATATTGGCAGCTCTAACTTGTATGGCTCCCTAGTTAAATCCAGAGAGCATCTTGCAGTTGAGCTGAGTAGATGAAGGTTGTAAGCTTAAAACAGTGGTACCTTGGTGGTCCTGGGTTTTGAGCTCATAGCCTTCTGACCAGTAAGCCAATGCCTTGACCACTGAGCCATCACAAATTATACTGTTAGCATGCCTGTGCCAGCCTAAACAGTTGCCACATGCTCATCTGTAACTATCAATCAGATCTATTCTTGTTGAGTATAAGATTGCTGAAAAATTATCACTATTTGGAAGTGGATTCCTGGGTAAAGTGTTTGATCAGACTTTGTTAGTGACCTTAAACCTCTTCCTCTAACTCCAGAACAATAAGAGTGGCAATGGAAGAGAAGAATTGAGGATGATCTCCTTTTTCCCCAACCACATCTTTATCCAGAGTTTGTGTTTTTGCTTCTTACACCTGTCTGTTCATGAAAGGGATTACACTGATTCACTTGAGACTTGGGATTTTGACGTGTGTATGCCCTTATGGGGTAAAAAGGCCAATTCTGTCCACAAGAAGTGAGATGCCCTCCATTTTAAAAATGTCATATCATGTAGGTGTTATCCATGTTAAATAAGAATTGTCAGCATGTCTCTGTTGTGCAGCCACGACATGGACCATAAACCCTGTTTAGTATATTGAATGACCTCATCTTCCTCTGTGATGGGTTGAGTTTGAAAGTGCATGACCTGCTTGATCTGCTTTTAACTCCTATTCCCCCATCTGGTTTCAATTTTATTCAAAGCCTTCCATTAAAATGCAGCTCTTGTCTGTAAAAAGACAATACAGCAGTGTCCATCAGATTATACGAAGAGCAGAGTCAAAGCTTTGAAAGAAGACAGAGTGACCTGTCATCCTTTCTCGGTCGTAAATGAAGCCCATACTGCGTTGGTGACTTGGGTATTCCAAAGAGGTGCAGCATAGGCTGGGATATTGCGATACCCTGGTTCAGTGGTTGTTCAGCTATTGCAATCCTGACTTGAGGAATCATGGCTATCCCTGAAGTTAGCCTTTCTTGGTCTTGTAAGGATTTGCCCCATTGCATCTACAAAAAAACAAGCGACACTTGAGACCGACCTCCCAAATTGTCATAATCCCCAACAAGTACAGCCCTTGTCTTTAATCTGCCACTTTCGTAGGTGTTGCATATCAGACAGAGATGAGACTCCAGTGAGAGAGACTAGGGCCTGTTATAAAGGGATCACACAGATATAAGGGTATCATACATCAAATGCAGCAGCTAGGCCTGCTCACATCAAAGAGTCACATCTGGTTTGTGACAAGCCTGGGACCCAAGACGCCAGATTCTTCTTGCGCCCGAGGGTTGGAGGAACTGACAGTTACCCTTTTCCCCTCCCGATTTGGTCCTTAAGGGTGTAGTTGTTCACCTGTGCGGCATCACATGGTGCCAGTGTTCCAGCACAATGCCACCTACATGGATGCTTGATACAAGGGCCCTTTTGTGGATAGGTGCTAGGTTTGTGTGAGGTTCCAGCCTGGAACAGGGTGGGATTTCTTGGCACATCTTCCTGCTTGTCCAACCCTGCTTGCTTCTGGGGATGTCCTACCCTGTAGAGTTGAGTTGCAATCTTTACTTCTGTCACTTTTGACAGTCTTAATGGCCTTGATTAACTGGATCAGGTGTATGTTAGGCCTGAAAGTTGGCATGGTGGTAAAACTCCAGAAGCAAGATTAGGTGATTGTGTGCTAGATTAGCCAAGTCTTGGTCACAGAATCTTACATAATCATTGCTGGAGGGATGCATCTTGTCTTTTTATGCATCACCTCATGGATTGTTTTTGACATCTTCTGCTTCAATGGCACAGGCAGTGTTTCACTTGCAGGTTTGAGCACATCATCTGAGTGTGCATTAATTAATTCTGATGCATCATTAATATTCAGGAGTAGTTAGTTGAGCTTTTTAAGCAATTCTAATGTGTTATGTTTATGCTATCAAACTGCAAAGTACCACTGTGTTTCACTGATTAAGCTTCTCTGACAGTTGTATTGAAGTTTTACATTTACGGCATTTGGCAGAAGCCCTTATCCAGAGTGACTTACATTTATCTCATTTATATATCTGAGCAGTTGAGGGTTAAGGGCCTTGCTCAGGAGCCCAACAGTGGCAGATTGGCAGTGTTGGGAGTTGAACTCATGACCTTCCAACCAGTAGTCCAACGTTTTAACCACTGAGCCACCATTGCCCAAGTTTTAGTGCCTCGAGGTCCCGACTTCAAATTTACGGACTGCCATGGAACCACTATGAAACTGTTCAGCTCAGAGGATTGGATTCAATCAGTAGTAAGGTCATTTTTGACCAAAAGTGTCAACTAAATCATAAGTTCCTACCTTCCTAAACAACAATTGATCAAACCATAGCCTACAGCATTTCTGACGGACAAGTGTGTGGGTGGCATAGGGAGCGTCCTGAGGGAGGATGATGGGTAGTGATTAACTATCAACCCCATCTATATGATTTCATGATATTGTGGTGCATTAAAGCACTAAGATGACCACGGGATTTCTTGGTTTCATGCTGAATGGTTCTGGCTTCTAATGGCCCCTAAAGGGCTTCTAATTGGACTCTTATGTAAGAGGGAAATCTCTGCTGCAGGGGTCTACATAGAACCCTGCAGAGGAACAAGACAAAAAACCATTACATTTTTAGATGTAATCTTTCAATTAGTGTATGATGCACACAGCCAATGTGTGAAAAAGGCACAGCAAGTGGACAGGAAGCAAGTATTTGAAGATATCAAGACACATTGTTGGCAACACAGTGGTGCAGCGGGTAGTGGTGGGCTCCGGTTCAAACCTGAGCTCAGGTTACTGTCTGTGTCCAGTTTCCTCCATGTTCTCAAGCTTCCTCCCACCTCCCAAAAACATTAGTGGGTGGAATGGCTACAAATGTATGCATGGTGCCCTGCGATGGACTGATGTCCCATTCAGGGTGTAATCCTGCCTCATTCTCAATATTCCTTGTATAGGCTCTGGATCCACCATAACCCTGACCAAAATAAAATGGTTACTGAGGATGAATGAATGAAACCTCACAAGAAGCCTAATGCCCTCTCTTGCAGCTTGCTACTAAATGACCCTTGGCCTGTTACCAGTCCATGTTGGATAAATATGAATAAATGTAAATGTAAAGACTGTAAGGAAGAGTGTCAACTCACGCCACACAGAAGGTACTGCTATACTTACATGATAATGCAGTAGCTAAAAAAATGTAGGAATATAAATACCAGCTGATCTCTTATGCACACACCTAACTTAGTGAAAGCTGTCAGCACTGTTTGAGATGAAAACCAACACGTGTCAAGATAAATGTGCCACTGACACGATAAGCCATTTTGAAAGATGAATGGGAATGTTGTACACTGACACATTGACGTATTCAAATATGGCAACTTGCATGGCTGTGACTCCTACGTCAGGGTAAGCAAACAAACCTTTTATCTTGTTATCCCGGAAATGGGAAACAGCAATGCTATCTGCAGGGCCTGCGGAGAAGCAACACACACTAATCTCCTAGTTTATTTGCTCTCGGCCAGCGATTGTGGACCACCCTCGAGGAGAGTCTCTTAACATAAACACCCAGACACAAACAGGCTTAGAAACATGGCTGACCATATCATGCTGTGGTGAACGCATAAACACTAATGCACAATCAGCCGGTTAGTAAGTGTGCTATTGGCAGACAGGGTGTTTATATAGTGCAGAAGCCAAAGAAAATATTCAGTAAGGCGTTCTTTGGATATATTGTTACCTATTAAGTGGGTATAATGAGTCTGTCGGCACCGAAACCCAAAGCCTTGCTTTAAAAGTTTTTATTGGGCTTCATTTTTGCAAGTAAATGTTGCCTCTTAATCTGCCTGGGGAGTTTACAAGCCCTTTGCTATTGCGAACTTGTGTGGAAATGAAGGGAGAAATGGAGATTCCAGTGCTGTCCTCCATATGCTGGGGTTCACACTGTATTTTGTGTGAACTGGGGCTTCAAAGGAAAAACTTCTGATGCAAAATAAGACTGTCCCCTTTTACAAGTTTTTCGTTTGTTTGTTTTTTACATAGCATGCTATCCTAGCCGAAACAAAGTAGGCCACTGGGTTGCCTTTGATTTAAAAGAATATTCGTACATTTTTAAACCTAATCTCTATTTATAGTGTCTGTAATATATGTGCAATTACCACATACACTAACTGTGACACATTTTCCTGTTCTGAGAAACTCGAAACTCACTCACATTGGAAGCTTTTGGAGGCACATTTATTGTCTTAATAAACCTTTAAAATATGTGACTATATAATGCAAATTTAAAACTACAACCATTACAGTCTGTCAGTAAATGTTTTAGCATGAGAAAGACATGAGGGAATTTTACCCATGCTGTTCTTATGTCATTTTATCCAACCTATTTATACAACCCCAGAGCAATACCCAGCTGTACCACCATGCCACATAGTTACTAAGTATAAAAATAATGCTTATATGCTTTATATTGAGTATAGTTTTTTTTTTAGATTGAGTAAACAGTAAAGCAGCCAGCAAGAAACTAAATCAAATCATAACTTGCCTTTGTGTTTAAAACTAGATAAATTCACTTACATACACTTTCATGCAGTATTCTAAGGAAATTGGCTGGAAGGTTGTGTTCCTGGCTTTTTGGAGAACCTGCTACACTTCTGTCTCTGCAGGTAAAATCCCAGACAGAAATGTGGTCTATTACTTAATACGGTCCATTACTTAACAAAATACAAAGATTTCTCTTTAACATTGAATTTTTTTTTTTTTTTTTTTTAAATCTATTTTTTTTTTCTACTGACATTAATGCAGCAGGCATAAAATTGGCAAGACAAAATTTATATTAAAATGCAGGGTGCCTAAGACATTTATAAGTGTTGTACACTAGTTACGGATAAATACATATTCTACCCTCTGAGAAAGTAGTCCAATCTCTGAAATATACATACTTAGAGCGTAATTACCAAATATGGTTAAGTGAAGAGTTTATAAAGTCATTTCAAAAAAATGTTTGCATTGCATAAACGTTAATTGCTGGGGATTTTTTTTTTTTGTCATAAATTCCTTCTGGGTACCAGCATGACAAGTGCTGCTTTCACGTCATGTGCTTTTGTTTACAGTGGCATGTGCTGACACGCCATGTGCTTTTGTTTTTGTTTCTGTTTTGATACTGTCTCTGCCCATGTTGTCATTGACTTGTTATCCTATTGTGTTCACCTGTTGTGTGTTTAGTTCTTGATTAGTCTATTTATACCTTGTTGTGTCACTGTGTCTTTACAAAGGCTTGTTATGCATTTCTAGTGTTTAAACTCCAAAACTTATTTTCTAGTTCTGACACTAGCTTGCTTTTCTGATTGTGATAATGGATTGTCTTTGTTTAATGTTATCTGCCTGTGTTTTGACCCCCACCATAGACACTGTTTATGATTATGATTCTATAAAATAAAGGATTTGCTCAAATAAAGCACTTGCATCCTGCCTTGACTCAGCACATGTAATAAAGGTGTTTCGATATTGGGAACCGTGTTGAAATTCTTTGCAGATAGAGATTACATTGGGAAATGATTGAGTATCCCATTTAGCTGACATTCAATTAGAAATTAAAAAATGGTGAATTTTGGTTCAAACTGGCATCTTAGGTCAAACATTAGAAATAGAGAAAGAGAGTAAAGCACAAAACATAAACACTAGAAAGTGACTCATTTGGGTTAAGTTTCAGCTCATTTTATGTTACATACCCTACATTTAGATTTTGTACGAATTGTACAGTATATTTGACAGTTGTGATAATGCAGTAGTTTGCAGCAAAAAGACAAATTCGTGTCTTCTGAACAATATACAATTTGACATTCAGAATAAAAGTACAACTTTGTTCTCACATCCAAAATTATCCAAACGGTTCATGAATATATCCTCCATCAACAGTTTCCATTTAGAGTTAAAATGTAGAAACCCTGAGGCCACATGCTGACGTTCTGTCTTTGGGTATCTGTTCACAAACATATACACATAATATGGCTATAGTATCTCTATTTGGCCCCTAGCACTTTGTAATTCATAGTAATATTTACTGATATGTTTTTTAACCCTGGTTCTTGGAAGAGCACCTGGCTGGCACCTGGTTAGCCATCTCGAATTCCCATACATCATCAGACACAGCGCTATTCGATGCCTTGATTGTATTTGTCTTGGACATTGTTCTGGCTTTGATGGTGAATTGAGGTAATTATTTGAGCCCGTACACTGCACATGAGACAACCAGTGCAACAAGAGAAGCTTGTTTGTGTGTGTGTGTGTGTGTGTGTGTGTGTGTGTGTGAGAGAAACACGCTCCCTAAACAAGAGAGGGCACAGCACAGGAGCTAAGCGCAGGATAAATAGCCCAATTAAATGCCTCCTTTATGGTTTTCATCAACAATGCACTTTGCAGGCATTGTACTTCCCTCTTTCAGCTTGGTGAATGAAGCCGGATGTGTAAATGAATCGGGTGAAATAGAAGCAGGGTGCTTTTTTTCTTCCCCCTCCTTCTCCCCTCTCCATCCTTTCATCCTGAAATGACTAAATAAAAATAAACAGACGGAGAACACCTGAGAGGTGAATGAGGAGGATTTGTTCATTTATAAACTCCAAGGGAAAACGGAAGCAATTAGGGATTTAAAACAAGTATGATTCATTTAGCTCTGTTAAATCACGGTTAACTCTTCCCTGTCTGAATTTACTGAATGAATGGGGTTTTTATAGTGAATGCTTTATGTTTAGCCTTCTGTGTATTTTGATTGCACATTGTTTATTTCAGTTGAATGAACAGTTAGGGTTAATTAACACATGAGCAATAACAGTTTGAATAAGAGTCCCAGTCAAATAAAGCCTTTTTGTAAACTATGAGAGCAGAATGGTTTGTATAGTGCCTAATGCAAACTCAAAGGACCTAATGTACTTGTATAGACATAATAAGGCCAAAAAAGCGTCATCTTGTAAATTTAACCTCAAATCTTTATTAAAACAAAACATATGACCTACACATCAATGACGTCTTGATATCTTGAATCTTTTAAAGATTTTGAATGGTAGACTGGATTATTTTCTGCGATGCTATCTTCTCCAGGTTCCTCATAAAGATTTTCCTGCCATGAGAATTACATTAGGATCCTCTTCATGCTTTGCTTCTAAAGCCACTCTGGAGCT